TTGAGATATTGCAATTAAAAGGCGGAGGTCCATGGTGAGACACACTGTATATAAATACGAAATTTATCCAAAAAAAATATTAATAAAACTCATACAGATATTTCGATAATGACAAAAATATATTCAGATTAAAAATGTACTAAATAGTATTTATTAATTATGATTAATGTTTTGTATTCGTTAAAGATTTAATGTTATTAAATTATAGGATCGTTAATGCTAAAAATAACTAGTCGGATTAGTGATTAAAGTTTTTATTAGCTAATTAACAATGAATCATAATAAAAATATTTTTATATTGTAATAGCTACTGGTATTTCTTTAATCTAGCAAGCCTTATCGTATTATATATACAAACAATTTTTAAAAAAGTTTTTATGTAATTGTAACAAAAATTGTAATTTTAAAAAATATTTAATGAATCATATTTTTTATGAATCATTAATAAAAATACGAAAATATAATATTGTATTAATAATAAACACCCATATTTTTATATTACAAATGTATTGTGTAACTTATTTTATATTGTTTAGCAAATATTGACGCATATAAATAATATTTTGTGATAAGATTATTTAACACAAAGTTTAGTTTATTGGTTATAATACTGTGATTATATTTTCTAAGATTTATTATGTTATTAAGATTTAAAGGTATTTTATAAATATTACAAAAAATAGATTTGTTATAATGACCAATTTATTTATAATAAATAAATAATTTCAAAACGATAAATTAAACTTAAATTAAATTAAACTAATTTCAATCAATAAATTAATGCATAAGAATTTAATTATTATATTATAGACACTTTTAGAGGTGTAAAATAAATCACATAATGTTTGTGATACGTTATCATATTTTTTCAATAGCTTGTGATTTATACAATATAAATCCATACAATAATATTGTGATAAGGGAATAAAATCAATAAATTCTTTGTATTGGCTATACCTGAATGTCAATGTCAACAGATAAATAAGTATATTATATATAGGCCTTGATCAAATATTAAGCCTCATTTGTACAAAAAATATAAATTGAAGCATTGTTTTATTTATTAAAATTTTACTAAATAAAAATGGAAATGCGACTTATTTTGTTAACAGCCTGTTTGGCTATTTGTTTTGTTCAAATTAATGCGGTTGATCCTGGTGATCCTGGTCATTTTATTTCTGATCCTGATTGCATGGGTAAAATTAACTCAAAATGCGAGCAGGAACTCAAAATCCCTGACACAAATAAGGATACTAAGTATTACTGTTGTCAACTATGGAAATATTATGATTGTGCCAAAAGAAATATGGTAAATTTATAATTATTTTTACTATATATATAATAAATTTTATTGACTACCATTTAGATTGTTATTTTAGTAAGTAATTGAAATTTAAATATTCAATAAAACTTTTATAGGACCTTTGCACGTGGAGTGATAAAATGAAAATGGACATGTCCTGGGATAGTTATTACATACAAGTTTCGGGTGCACTATTTCATCAAAAGCCTTGTAAGGAACTGGATTATAAACGCGATTCCTGCCCAAGTAGTGCCAGTAAATTGACCATGAGTATTATATTGATGTTTGTCGTTTTGATTGCAAATTATTTGTGGAAATAATACTTTAATAAAATAAAATCCTTTCATATTTAATTTATATAGCCCAGTAGTTTTAATAATTTTTTTTATTTTACTAAATAATTATGTTGTTGTTTTCATATTATGTCTCAGTTCCTCAATTTTAATTACAGTTATAAATAAATAAAACTATATTATTCATTTTGTAAAAATAAAAGAATTATTTACTTATTATTATTTTCATACAATATAGTTGTTTTTAATTACTTAATTAGTTAACTTTATATTATTATAATAGTTTTAATATAAAATTGTAAGATAACTATTATAAATATAATATCATTTAATAGTTCAATTTTTATATGAGTAATCTTGATAAAACTACTAACATTAATAAGTCTAGAAATTAATAAATTAAGTAATGAATATGATACTGTACTCAAATTTACGACTGTAATATACCAGAAAATTTATTATATATTTATCAACAATTATATTATATTTTATAAAAGTCCACTACATTAAATTAATAAAGATTTTTTAATTATGAAATCTATTTTCAGAGTAAACTATAAATACTGTAACATAAACTAAATTAACAGTTTCTTATTAATTTAATTTGTATAAGTTTCATTAAAATGCTGTATATTATTTAAAATTATTAAAATGGACACTAAATTTTATGTGTTGGTAGTTTGTTTATTTATATGTGTTACAAAGGCATTTAGTGATAATTCAGCTAGTTTAATAAGTATTAGCGCCGGAGGTGGGAATGGCATTAAATCATCGACTCAAGATTGTTATTAAATTATTATCAAAATGCACATTTGCATCTGATGGTAACAAGGACACCCAATATTATTGTTGCAACTTATGGAGATTGAAGGACTGTCTTAAAAACAATTATCAGGTTAAAAATGTTAATTGAAAACTTTACTTACTTGTTGGCGATAATTCAACAAGTATCTTAGCACTGAAAGGGAGTGTCATGTATATATAATTTCAAAGTTCTATATACGAGAGGAAGTAATTATAGTAATCAATAACATAGACAATTTTAAAGTAATATTAATTGAAGCTTGCAAAAATAAACATTTTAATTATTAATCTAAATTATAAAAATGCAAACTAAGAATTGGCTCTCGATGCATTGGATTATGATTAATTTATAAATAAAATTGTTGTTTATACACTAAAAATTTTGTAACAAAATCTTTTATAATATATTAATTTTAATTGTAGGCATCGGATTCACCTTGCACATGGGAAGAAAAAATAAATGTGGATATGAGTTGGGAGACTATGTCTATGAAATTCGCCGTTCCCAATAGTAGCCCACCAAGGGAAATTAACATCTATCAAGAACCATGCAAAACTCTCGGGCATACCCTGGACCAATGTCCAAATAGCGCTTTTAAATCTGCAACAAGTTTCATATTGTATTTTAGCATTATATTTTCATTGTATTTAGTTAAATATAATTGAAAATTAATGAAAATTAATATCATGTTAAACTAGATTAATGATAATTATGTATTTTAATTTGATAATTAGATTCAGCATAGTAGTTAGAAAGTAACAATTGCAATAATAATAATTACGTTGTTGTAAAATTTAATTTATACAGTAATAAATAAAATTAAAATACAAAATAAATTTGATAAATATATTTTGTAATAATTTTAAAATTATGTTATGTTTATTCAGCTTTACAGTACTTTCATTGTCATATTTATTGACTAAAACAGATTTGTATTAAATAAATAGTAATTAAGTGGAAAATTTTTGCATTTTACATTTTTTACAAATTATTTAACAAAAACCTTACTTTTAAAAGTATATTATTTTAAATAATCTAATTTTATTTTAATTAAATTAATATTTATAACCCCAACACCAAAAATATGAATATAATTTGTGAGTATTATTAATACTAATGAAATAAATCATTTTTTGTCATGTTAATATTAATTATTTAATTAAATATAGCATACGCCTTATATATTTTTACTACCGGTGTTGTCCTACTAATAACCATAGCTCTGGGTGGAAAATGTCCACAGACACAGTACTCAGCCCTAATCGCACCGTGCGTTTGCGAGAACGACACATGGATTACTTGTAGCACTAATGAGTCCTTCAATATTAAGCGCACCTTTGAGTACATCTCACAGTCTGTCCACTGGAAGGACAGACACTTCGAGCGCCTCATCATAAACGCCACGGAATTACACGAAATACCAGAAATGGCTTTCGGAGACATTGTGTTCAATGAGCTACAGGTGCTCAACGCCCGCAAACTCCATACCATACATACCAACGCATTTGGAGCCACGCGTCTACACATGAAACGCCTGTCCATTACCGGTGCCGACAGCCTAACCACCACTACCTACCAGTACAACCTGTTTGAGGCCTTGTCCTCCATCAACAACATACAGGCGCTGGAAGTTACCGGCGCTAACCTCGTGGACATACCTGAACGGGCGTTCAAAC